CTCACTCCCACCCGCCCTCCCAACACATACGTAACACCCGAGTCTTGCCCGAGCCTGAGCATATTCAGCAAAAAAAAAAAAAAAACAAAAAGTTCCACGTTCCCCCCCTTTGGATGGGCCTTACTGGGGCCAGCCCGCCGCCGCCGCCGCCGCCGCCGCCCGCCGCCTCCCGCGCCGCCGCCTCCTCCGCCGCCGCTGCCCGCCGCCTCCGCCTTTCGCGCCGCCGTTCCCCACTGCCAACCGCAAGCCGCCGCCGCAGCCGGCCGCCGCCACCGCACCCCGCCGCCGCCGCCGGCAGACGCCGCGCCCGCCGCCGTCGCCGCCACCGCCGTCGCCGCCCCCGCCGTCGCCGCCGCCGCCGCCGCAGCCGCCGCAGCCGATGTCACCGCCGCCGCAGCCGCCGCCGCCGCCGCCAAGTGTACTCGGTATTGTATTTTGTTGACAGGGATGGTGGGGGGGGGCGCACCGGGTTGGCTGCGCATGTTCAGACTTTGGAGGCAGAGTGTGTTTTGTATGGTTTTTTGCCAGGTGCTCCGCCAACTGGGGTGGCATGGGCCCTGGTTGTCCCCCAGTCGCATGGGGGAGGGGTGTCTATTAATAGGGGAACAGACTCCCTCCCCGCCCGCAGCCGTCTCGTTCACTCCCACCCGCCCTCCAACACTATGGATCACCACGAGTCTGGACCGAGCCTGAGCATTCAGCAGTCGCTAGGATGGGCGAGCTATGGGGGCATTTGGGCCCCAAGCCGCACCGCCGCGCCGCCCTCCGCCGCCGCCGCCGCCTCCGCTGCCCGCATCCGCCGCCGCCGCCGCGCCGCCGCCCGCCGGACGCCGCCGCTTGCAGCCGCCCCGCCGCGCCGCCCCCAGGCTGCCAACCGCGCCGCCGCAGCCAGCAACCGAGAGCCACTGGAGGCGGTGCCGCCGCGCCGCCGTAGCCGCCGCCGCCGAAGCCGATGAAGACGCCTGCCGGCAGCGTCGCCGCCGCCGCCGGCGCAGCGCCGCCGCCGCCCGCCGCCGCCGCCAGTGTATTCGGTATTGTTTTTTTGACAGGGATGATGGGGTGGGCCGCATCGTGTTGGCTGCGCATGTTCTCGCTGCGCATGTTCGAATTTGGGCCAGTTGCCATTCGAGCAGTTGTTATATATATATTCTATTATATCTAATAATATACATATATATATATATTATATACACATGTATATAATATGTAGGATACACCATATGTATTTGTATTATATATATATATGTATCATGATATATCGACAAACAAAGATGGTGGTTGGGGGTGCTGGACTCGGGTTGGCCCCACTCGCTGGGTAGTGTTCCCCCTGCCAACCGCCGCGCCGCAGCCGCCGCCGCCACCGGCCACCGCCGCCGCCGCCAGCGCCGACGCCGTAGCCGCCGCCGCCGCCGCCGCCGCCGCCCCCGCCGCCGCCGCCGCCGCCGCAGCCGCCGCAGCCGCCGCCACCGCCGCCGCAGCCGCCGCCGCTGCCGCCAAGTGTACTCGGTATTGTTACCCAACAGCTCTTGCTGATAGGTTTCTAATGGTCTCCAAAAAGAACAACAGATGACTCCTCAGGGGGGTGTGGGCGGGACCCGGAAAGGCTGCCGCCGAAGCCAAAAAATCGCTTTGGACATCCTCGCAAAATCGCTCTTGGTGCTCCCAGAACTCCATTCCCGGGCTACATTTTGGATGCCCGGAACCAACTGTAGGCCACTTCGTGCTCTTCGACTTCCCAGAACTCCATTCCCGGGCCACATTTTGGATGCCCGGAGCCAACTGTAGGCCACTTCGTGCTCTTCGACTTCCCAGAACTCCATTCCCGGGCCACATTTTGGATGCCGGAGCCAACTGTAAGCCACTTCGTGCTCTTCAAGTTCCCAGAACTCTATTCCTGGGCATGATTTTGAATGCAATTCCTGGGCCACATTTTGAATGCCGAGGCAGGCTGATGCTGCGGCCGAGGCAGGCTGAGGCTGAGGCAGGCTGAGGCTGAGGCCGAGGCTGAAGGCAGACTGAGGCTGAGGCTGAAGCAGACTGAGGCTGAGGCTGAGGCAGGCTGAAGGCTGAGGGTGAAGCAGGCTGATGCTGAGGCAGGCTGAGGCTGAGGCTGAGGCTGATGCAGGCTGAGGCTGAGGCAAGCTGAGGCTGAGGCCGAGGCTGAAGGCAGACTGAGGCTGAGGCTGAAGCAGGCTGAGGCTGAGGCTGAGGCAGGCTGAGGCTGAGGCAGGCAGAGGCTGAGGCTGAGGCAGGCTGAGGCTGAGGCTGAGGCTGCGACTGCCGTTGCCGCTGCGACTGTCATCGCGAATGCGACGACGACTGCGAGAACAGCAGAATTCTACAACTGGATTTTCATGTGAATCTTAAGGGGAATGCTTTCAGATTTGCTTCTACACATCGCTGTTCGGTTGCTTTGCCGGGATAATTTTTTGACAAGGATGGGGGGGGGGGGCGCATCGGGTTGGTTGCGCATGTTCCGATTTTGGAGACAGCGTGTGTTTTGTATTGTTTTTGCAAGGGATGGTGGGGGGGGGGATGGACCCCAGTCGCCCCCAGTCGCCTGGGGGAGGGGGTGTTTATTAATAGGGAACAGTGATCAAGACCCCCTCCCCGCCCGCAAGCCGTCTCGCTCACTCCCACCCGCCCTCCCAACACATACGTAGCACCCGAATCTGGCCCGAGCCTGAGCATATTCAGCAGCCGTCTTTGGATGGGCAGCTACTGGGGGGCAATCCGCCGCCGCCGCCGCCGCCGCCAGCCGCCGCCGCCGCCGCCGCCGCCGCCGCCGCGCCGCCGCCGCCGCCGCCGCCGCCGCAGCCGCCGCCGCCGCCGCCGCCGCCGCCCCCGCCGCCGCAGCCGCCGCCGCCGCCAAGTGTACTCTGTATTGTTTTCTTTGACAAGGATGATGGGGGGGGGCGCATCGGGTTGGCTGCGCATGTTCCGAATTTGGAGACAGCGTGTGTTTTGTATTGTTTTTTACAAGGGATGGTGGGGGGGTGGCCCCCAGTCGCCCCCAGTCGCCTGGCGGAGGGGGTGTTTATTAATAGGGAGCAGTGATCAACCCCTCCCCGAAAGGGAAGAAGGAGGGGTGGAAGAGGAAACGCCTTAAACCACCGACGCCCAGAATGCTGGTGGGATTCCCAATGGGGCCGTGTGAGGGATGCACCAAAATGGCGCGGGGCCGCCATGCGAACCATGCCACTGGGGCCTTCGGTGGAGCTCCCTATGGGGCCACGAAGCGTGCGGGGGGTGCGCCGAAATTGGGCGGGGCCGCCGAACCGCTCACTAGGCCCTTCGGTGGAACTCCCTATGCGGCCACGAAACTTCTAAGGGGGTTGCCGAAATGGAGGCGGCGAACCCTGCCACTGGGGCCCCTTATCGGGCCACGAAACGTGTGGTGTGTCTGTGTGTGTGTGTGCTGAAATTGGGCGGGGCCGCCATGCGAACCCTGCCACTAGGGCCTTCGGTGAAACTCACACATGGGACCAAGAAACGTGCGGAGGCTGTGCCGAAATGGGGCGGGGCCGCCACGCGAACCCTGCCACTGGGGCCTTCGGTGGAGCTCCCTACGGGGCCAAGAAACGTGTGAAGGGTGTGCCGAAATTGGCGCCGCCGTGCGAACACTGCCACTGAGACCTTCGGTGGAGCTCCCTATGGAGTCACGTGTGAAGGGTTTGCCGAAATGGGGCGGGGCCGCCATGCGAACCCTGCCACAGGGGCCTTCTGTGGAGCTCCCCTATGGGGCCACGAAACGTGTGAGGGGTGTGCCGAAGTGGGGGCGGAGCCGCCATGCGAACACTGCCACTGAGACCTTCGGTGGAGCTCCCTATGGGGCCACGAAACGTGTGAAGGGTTTGCCGAAATGGGGCGGGGCCGCCATGCGAACCCTGCCACTGGGGCCTTCGGTGGAGCTCCCCATGGAGCCACGAAGCGCGTGAGGGGTGTGCCGAAACAGAGGCATGCGGAGGGCAGAGACACAGGGGCGGAGGAGGGAGGTGGGAGGAGGGAGGAATGAGGAGGGAGCGCGGGGCGCTGTCTCTTCAAAACGAAGGAAGACCCCGCACCACAGGATGGTTGGGGAAAGACAACAGAGCGCCGCACGGCCTCGAACATGAGAGAACAGTGACGACTCAGATGATGGGGTGGAGCTGGATATGAACATGATAGAGAAAGGGGTGGTGCAGAGAAGAGACGACCACACAGTGACTATCGTAGAGGCGAGTGCACACGATCATACACATAATCCCGCACATCGTAGCAAAGCAAGGCACATCCGCGTGGGGAAGCAGAGGCGATGAGTCGGATGGGGCAGAACAAAGCAGAACAGAACAGAGTCGGAAGGGCCCATTTTAGCCAAGTCGCAATCCTGAGGCCCCTAGCCGTGGATGGTCCGACTGCTTTCGCGCCGCTTCATGTCCACCTGCCCCTCGAGCAGATGGGCGAGCACCTTTCGCTCGTTGAGCTCGTCGCACGTGCCATGGGCTATTGAGCCTTTTTGTTCGACCCCTCGTGAAGTACGCCACGCCCAAAGTCCGCCTCGGCAGGCCAGGGCTGAGGTGCCCATGTTTCGAATCCCAGCAGCTCCCTGTGCCCACCAGGCCGGTGCCGTGGAGAACTTGGGATTGGAAGTCTCCCGAGGCCACTAAGATTCGCGCGTGGCGCCCCGCGAGTGCGCCCTCGTGCCCTCGCGCGGCCACTCTGGAGATGGGCGGCCTGCTGGCCCGTCGCGTGGCGCGCGAAGCGCGATCTTCGACCCCCCGCGGGCTACCCAGCCTCTCTTCCTCACGCCTCGGAGGCAACGTGGGGGGGCGACTGGCCCGAGGAGGAGGAGGAGGAGGAGGAGGAGGAGGAGGAGGAGGAGGAGGAGGAGGAGGAGGAGGAGGAGGAGGAGGAGGAGGAGGAGGAGGAGGAGGAGGAGAGCCCTCCCCTGCGCTGCTCGCCCCCGCCGTCGCCTCCGACCGCCTGCCGCCCCGCCCTCCTGCCACAGCGGGGCCCAGCGCCTTCTCGCCGCCGAACAGCGTGTGGTTCTGCCACTCGCCGCTTCTGCGGTTCGGCCAGCCGCCGGTGCCGCTGCAGGGGGGGGGGGGGGGAAGACTGAACCATTCCCGTCCCCTCCACGCTTCCCTCCACTCCCCTCCCCTCCCCTCCCCTCCCCCCCCCCGTCCCCCCTCTCTCCCCCTGCCTCGGCCCTCCGTCTTCCCTCCCAAACCACACAGCATGAAGGCCACTCTCTTCTCTGCCCTGATACTGTTGGGGCCGCCTCTCCCGAGCAAACATTCTCAAATCTTTTCGCTCGTCGTTGCCCGCGTGGCGTTCAACATGTATACCCAGGCCCTCGAATCCCGAGCCCTACATTGTGAGCAGGTCCTGGGCGAGAGGAAGTTTCCACAGAGCCGATAGCGTAACTCCATACTTAACTAAAAACACGTTTCAAGTGAAAGCACGGCCTTTGAGTAAATTGCAGTGCAGTCTCGATCGAGAGCCCGACTCGGGCAATTCAATTAGAATGCAATGCAAGGGTGATCAACAGGGGGATCAACAATATTCGGCGGTGGACAAACCTCCCTGTAGTAAAACCTCCCTTTCGTGAAAACGGCCTGGGACCGAAACCGACGGACCTGGCCCCGCAAAAATGACGGCCGCGACGCCCTCCCGCGAACCGAAAACGGCCGATTCCCTAATCGACGTGTCAGGGTAGGAGGTCTGTCCACCCCCAAAATAGATTTACCCAGAAATGAAAGTTCAATCGTCTCAAGCACGGACACTCACTTTAGATATGCGCTCAGGGACAGTGTGAGACCGTTTGGCCTCTCACTCCTGGCATATCAGTATGTATGTATGTATGTATGTATGTATGTATGTATGTATGTATGCACATATATATATATATATATATATATGCATCTATCTATATAGAGAGAGAAGGAGAACAAGAGAGAGAGAGAGAACAATAAAGAGAAAGAGAGAGAGAGAGGGAACGAGAGAATAAGAGAGAGAGAGAAATATCCACACATCCATCGCCATTACCATCTTGACCATAAACTCTTCCCCGATATCCGAACTGGCGGACGCGAGTGCATTTGCAAAGCTTTGCGGGTCTCCGAAAAGGGCTACCCCTCCACTCTCCCTACACCATCTTGGGTTCCAAATCACGTCCGCTCGCGGCGTCGAAGCTCCTCTGGCGGCCCTTAGCCAGTACACCGACAGGCAGGAGGATGCGTTGGGAGGGCCCAGGCAGGCAGCCTGCTCTCCCCGAGCCAGCCCGAAAATAGCTGGTGGTGGCCGCGACGGCTGCAGGCGGCGGCTGCGGAGGCGGCGGCGCCGCAGCTTCTGGCGTGCGGCGGGAGGAGCAGCGAATCGGCGGCGAAATCCGAACCCTACCCTCGCCGATCAACGATTCAGGAAACTCGACGGGCGGCGGGGTACGGTTCGGAATGCGTCGAACACGCGGCGAAATCCGAACCCTAACCCCCGCCTCTCGTCGATTCAGCAGAATCGATGGTTCGTGGGGATATACAGTCGGGCCGCTGAAAGAAGGAACGCCAAATACGGAACGGAGCCCCACTTTGGCCGTAAAGGCGCCGCCGTGCCCGAGGAGGGCAAGAGGAACAGAGATGGCCGCCCCGAACCCGAGAGCACAGCGTAGGCGATGGCGTCGAAATGGTCGCCGCCGTCCCCGCAATCGGCGCTACTGGCCGACGTCTCCGCGCCCGGCGCCCTGGAGTCCTCGGCCCCCCCGCGCCGCGGCCGCGGCGGTCTCTGAGAGCCTGGACGTCGGCTCGTCTCGCCGCTCGTCGAGCAGGGCGGCGAACATCGAGCCCCTTCCGAACTCAAATGGTTCCTTATTTCAACGTTTTGAGCCTAAGGAGAAACAGCGATGGAGAAGCCTAAGGAACATCGAGCCCCTTCCGAACTCAAAGTGTTCCTTATTTCAACGCTTTGACTGTAGTTCGGATGTCGGCACCCCGCGACGTCAGCGGTGGCGGCCCCGGGCGGCCGAGGGCGGCCTCGCCTGTGGGCGCGCTGGCCACGGCGGGCGCCGCTGCTGCGGAGGCTCCGCCCGAGGCTGCCTGCCCCCGCCCCCGTCGTGCCCGCCGCGGGCGTGGCTCAATGGCGGGGCGATGATAACTGTGGGGGGGAGGGAGAGAGAGAGAGAGAGAGATAGAGACAGAAACGTGCACCTTTCCTGCGGGGCACAAACAAGGTGCACCTCTCCTCTTCCCAGTTTAACGCCCCCCCCCCGTTTGCGCAACGCCCGACCGCCTCCCGCTCCCGCACTCGCCAGCCCACCCCTGCCTGCAGCCTGCAGTCCCCCCGCCCGCCCACCTCTGATGAACCAACAACACACACCCATACCCATAGGGGGGTCGGAAAGGGCCATGGGTGCGTGTTGTCGGATGGGGGTCCCCGCTCGAACGGGAGCGTTCCCCAGGGTCCGACAGCCCGCACCCATACCCATAGCCAGTCCTCCTCCCAACGACCCCCTTATGGGTATGGGTGTGTGTTGTTCCTTCGTCAACCTCGCCCCCTCTCGCCGCCCCCCCCCCCGCCTGCGGCGCAGACCCGCGCCGCCCGCCCTCCCCCCCTCGATCCTCTGCAGCTCTGGCGCTCCTCGCCTCCAGCGCCCGCCCTCAGTGCCTCCGCTCGGCGACGCCCTGCCTCCGGCCTCTCTCGAGCCTCTGCCGACCCCCTCCGCCATGCCACGCCGTGCTCTACAGTGCATCGCGTACCCTTTCGGGATCACTGCCCTGCTCGACATCCGACCGTGGGAGCAGAGAGGGGATCTGCGCCATGGTAAGGGGTGGGAGGGAGGGGTAGGATGTCAGATATGACGCGAGCGCACCTAGCTTGGCCGACCCCCTGCCCCCTCCCCCCTCCTCCCTCCTCCCTCCTCCCTCCTCCCTCCTCCCTCCTCCCTCCTCCCTCCCCCCTCCTCCTCCCCTCCTCCTCCTCCCCTCCTCCTCCTCCTCCTCCTCCTCCTCCTCCTCCTCCTCCTCCTCCCCCTCCCTTGAGGCAACTCGGGTGCGCTCGGGGGGGCCCGCGGGAGGAGGGCGGGACTCCGGAGCGCCCTCCGCTGCCGATCGGGGACCTGGGGCCTCTCCGCCCCGGTGGGCCCGCGCACGCTGCCGTCTGCCCGTGGGCCCTTGCCGACGGCGCCTCCTACGAGAATCGGGTCGGGCGAAAGGGGGGGATAGCAAAGGGGGGGTTTGAGAATCAGCTCACGCAACTGATTTTCCCGGCGCCTCCCGTCGCAGGAAGCGGCTATGTATCGAGGAATGGGCCCCTCGATGAGGCCGAAACCAGCTGCATGCAGCAAATTTCGTAATCCCCCCCTTTCCCAATACCCCCGTTTCGCCCGGCCCGAGAGAAGGTGGTGGCGAATGGCTCCGTAGCCATGGTCCCCGACGGTGCCAGAAATCCTCCGGGAAAGGGGACATGCCGAAGCTGAGCGCGAACAGGGAGGGGGCGGACTGAGGAGGACAAGCTGGGTGCGCTCGCGCCGCAGCTGACGTCCCACCCCTCACTCCGATCCCTTTCCATTGCGTCGAATCCTTCTCTATTCGCAGAGCTGGGTGTCGGGAAACGCCTTGACCCCACAAGGGCAACATAGTCGAAGAGGACCTTGAGCTGGGACTGCAGCGGGAGCACCAGTGTCGCTGATGCAGGCGTACAACCACCGCTGCGACGAGAGCGTCGCCCCCTTGGACGGAAGATCGAAGACAATTCGTACGTGCGGCAATACTTACATCGAGAACACCACTTCCACTGATGCAAAATGATGGCCATTACTATGGCGAGAGAGTCGTTTCGTCGCACGGAGGCTTTCTAGATATCATGAATTGCGGCAAACGCTGTATCGAGAGTAGCAATGTCGAAACGCCGAGAATCTCCTCATTGGACAACTAATGTGGACATCCAGCTCGGGACAATCCAGTGGGTAAACATTGAAAGAGATGGGCGGGCGCAAATAAAGACAACATCAGCGGATAGAAAAACACAATATTCATATTGTATACTTGTGGAGGGCGAGGAGAGAGCAGCGCAAATGCGCGGTCTACTCCATCGCGTTCGAGCAAGCGTGGTAGCCTTCTATCGTGACAACTCCGGCCTGATCCACAACTCAAGCACGGTGACGGAATCGGCCGAATGCCACCAACAACGAAATGATTTAGACGATTAGGCTTACCTCTCACACTAGCTGTGCGCCCGTCATGGTCCCCATCTTCCCCCTACGTCTTGTACCCTGAGCGCAAATCGCACCACGGAGCAGCGAGGCGTGAAGCCACGCGTACGCTTTGGGAAGAGGCAGCGCAAAGACTGGGCGGAATGACGAGTGAAGAGGACACCTCACTTAATTAAGTGCGGTCTTCTTCATCTACTGCTGTCCCCAATCCAATGATGCCCTTGGTCAAGTCTGAACGGGACCCACGTCGTCGTGGACGTGTGCTGGTACGTCTGGCTGGCCCATGGGCGTGCCACGTGTGAACGTCTGGTGGTTACCCCCTCCTCCAAATGAACGCCTCTTTCTCCCCCCCCTGGCACCCCCTCTGCCTCTGCGTCTCTCCCTCCCTCACGCTGCCGATCCTCATGATCTTCATCCTCGTCATCGTCCTCGCTCATGATTCCCATCCTCGTACTCGCTCATTATCTTCATCATCCTTCTCCTCTTCCGCACCCCTATCACCCGCCCTTCTGGTGTCTCGACATGCTCTCTCGCTGCCATCCTGCTCCGCTGCCGCGCACGTCCCCACCGGTGAGTGCGTGCGCGTCGGCTCTGCTGACCTGTGGCGCTGCGCGGCTCCACCCGACTTGTACCGAGAGGGGAGAGTGCGATGCAGGACCGGGCGATCAAAAATCCCTGGGGAGGAGACGAGAATCGGATTCTTCCCCGCGGCCTTCGGAATCTGCGGCATCTCTGGTCAGAGGTTCGCAACACTGAAAGGGGCCCCGGGACACACAAATAAATACACACAAATAGCCAGCTTCCCTATATTTTCCCATATTTTCTGGGTTTTGTCTTCCTCCCACTTCCCATACAGTCGGGGCTCGGCCACAAGAAACCTCCGCAAGAAACCCAACCCTGAAATATGCGATTTGTTCAATGGAAATCCACATGTGCCGATCGAAAATCGTCAAGATCTGATTGGGAGCCCATCAAAATCCAAGAAACCCAGGGCACCCTGGCAAAATCCAACTGGTTTCTTGGCACGCGCCCCCAGTGTATATTCCCATATTTTCCTGGGAGTCGACGATGACTTGTGTCTGTATGTTTTTTCCCCTCCCGAAGCACTCGGATTCCCTACTGCGTGCGGGCGCGTGGCGGCCCCCTGGCGGGCGCCGGGAGACCCGCCCCCCCCCCGACGCGTCCCGGCAGACCGGGGCCCGCGCGGCTGCCAGGAGCTCCCCGGGTGCGCCCCTCACGAAGGGGCTCCAGGACACACAAACAGATACACACAAATAAGCAGACTCCCCATATTTTCCCATCTGTTTCTGGTTGTTGTCTCCCCCCCCACTTCCCATACTTTCCTATAGTTTCGGGGGAGTCGACAATTCATTGTGTCTGTGTGTTTTTTTCCCCCCTCTTGACTTCAGGACCTCCTAGGGCTCCTCGGCGAGCTCCGAGATGGCCCAGGAGCGCGGATCAAAGGGTAGCACGCCCCAAGACGCCCTCACTACGGCCTCCAGAAAAATTAGCACAACCCCGCAGTGGCCCCATTTGGTCCAACGCAGCCCCCAAGAGGCCTCCAGGAGGCTAACATCATACAAAACCTATCGTGTTTAGTCCGACTTTGGCTTTTTCGCCTTGTCGCTTCCTACTGGATTCGGAGACCTAGAGATGGCCCCAACATGGCCCACTATGGCTCCAGGTAGGGTCTGGAAGGGCTCCGAGAGGGCCCCAAATATCCCCAAGAGCGCCACGATACAGACCCAAACCAGTTAGTTCCAAGATACCCCAAGATGGCTCCATGGCGGCCCAATCGCTGGCATCAGGGGAACAAATGCCCCAAGACAGCCCCGAGGTGGCCCAAGGTGGTCCAAACCAGCCCCCAAGATGCCTCCAGGGCGCCGAAATCATTCAAACGCATACCTGTGTTTAATGGTATTTGGTTCGCCATTTCGCTTACTACGGGGTTGTCTTTCCAAAGAAAACAATCAAGGACAACATATCGATAACTCCGCTGCGCTTCAGGGGGCTATCCCATACACGTGATACACGAACAAGCGAGCACAACGAGACACGGTCATTGCAACCGGTAGCAAAACTTGGCATCGCGATGGGAAACAACTCAGTGGCAATCGGAACGTTCGTAGCTGGGAGCATGCAGAGCGACCAACGCACAGACACCTAGACTCCGAGGAGGGAGCAGGAGGAGAGAGAACACAGAAGAAAACTGTACTAAATCGTTGTGAGTGCCCCCCTCTTAGGATCTGGGCGACCATTCATATAACAACATCGAGCAAGGAAGAACAGCTCAGTGTAGCAAAGAACCAAACACAATGTCATACTACACCTCACTTTCCAGACATGCCGCGACGGTGGAACAAGCAGAGGGGGAAATACAACATTAATAGACACGCAGATGCATACAAAAACTATGGTGGTGCGCTGGGCAGGTCCGCGAGCACGAATGGCACAGGGCAGTGCGCTAGATCTGGGTGCGACGTACGCGCTCCAGTCAAAATGGAAATGTGGCCATGGGAAAGCCCAAGCCCGCCAAAAAACACAATGCAAACCTGATGCGGGTCCAGGAACACGAAGGCGGCCTAAAAGGTCGGACAGTGCTGGGGCCCCGCTGGTGCCCTGAGGCAGCCGTTCCCGTAGCGACTCAGCCTGGCGGTACCTGGGAAAGGTAGCGGCCGCCGCCCGACCGACCTTGTGGCTGTGGACGAACACAATGCCCATGTAGCTGTTCGCGCCCAGCCCTCACAGCGGCGCTGGGACCAGGCTGCCGCCGCCGCTGCCTGCGGCGCCGCCTCGAGCCGGAGGCTCGCCCAGGATCAGGTCGGCGATGAGGAGGTCTGTTGCCAGGGCCGGGCAATGCATGAGGAGGTGCGCTGCCGTCTCCAGGGCCAAGTTGCACGGGCGGCGCTGGGGCACGACTCCTGCCCGGTCACTCAGGATGGCCCCTTGGAGCGCTAGCGGCAACCGCGCCTGTGCCTCCTCCGTCTTGCATCGAGGTGCAGCTTAGTGGTGCGCTCCCCATGTCCTTCCGCTGAACGCCCTCGCTCGCGCTTGCAGCCGCGCTGCCAACCGCGGCCGCTCCGCCTGCAAAAAGTGGCCGATGTCGGGCTCGGCCCCGGAAGCCCATGCAGGAGCATGCGCCGCCGGCTGGCTTTGGAGCGGCTCTGGGCTGCCCCGGGCTCGCAAACTCCCAAGCGCCCGAATGCTGCTGCCGCTGCCGCGGGCCAGGAACCATGCGCGGGCTCTAGCACCTGGAGAACTCCTCCACCTGGATCCTGGCCCGCAGCAGCATGCACGCCAGCCTGCGGTAGCGCGTGGGCCACCGCTCTGGCCACCCCAGGGCGTCGGGGATCCTGGCTCGGGCCGCTTGTCCCGCAAGGCCAAATAGCCAACTGCCATGTCGAAGCCTGGCACGTGGATGCGCAGCTCCGGCCCGAAGGGGGGCCCCGGTCGGGCGCACATCCAGAGGGGCTGCGTCTGGAGGTCGAAGGGGAACCCCCGTCCTGCATGGCCCGAACGTGCCTGGTGCCCAGCCGCCGCGCTGCTGCCAAACACGGCCAGATATGGGCTTCCTCGGGCACCTGGGTGTCACCAGCCGCCCCGAGGCACGTGCACTCGCTGACAAACTCCACCAAGCCACAAGGTCTGGTGTCGATGGCTCCACTCGCAAGCGCTGCTGTCTTCGTCGGCCACTAGCGCAGGCGAGCCCAGTGCTTTCGGGCTGCCGATTGTAGCGCCGCATTGCGCGCGGCCTTCTGGCGCCCCCTACCTTCGGCTTGAATCTCCGGGGCGGCTGGCCGCGGGCCACTGCTGCGACGGCGGCGCGGGCCAGCGTCGCCCCCAGCTGCTGCCGCGCCCTGCCTCCGACCCCTGCCCTGTCGCGGGCTGCTGCGAGGGCCTCGCGGCGGCCCCGGGATCAGGAGCTCCTGCTCCGCCCGCGAAGGGTTCCATGAAGGGCTGGCCTTGGGCCGAGCAGATGGCGCGGCATTCGAAGCCCAAGAGGCCCGACTCCAACCTCTCCCCCCCGACTCCTGCCCGCCCGACAGCGCCTCCTGGAGGGCTGCTGAGCGCTGCTGAGACGAGAGCCCCTGGAGCACCTGCCCATCTGCGGAGCTGAACGCGAACGCCTGGTAGCCATCGTAGTCTTGACGATGAAGTCTTCCCTTCGCGCAGTGATAGCTGCCCCGCTCCAGCCAGAGCGTCGCCGCCGCCCCGAGGCGAAGCGCCAGGTTCATCGCGTTGAGTCGGGCTTGGGCCCCTACGGCATGATCCGACGCCGATGCGCCTGCGCCCCCCCTTCCATCTCCTCGCGGGTGCATGCGCCTGTTGCCGCCCAGCGCTGTCGGTCGTCGATGGCCTCGGTGCGGATGCTGTTCGCATCCCTTGCGGGCTCAATGTGGCACTCCAGGCCCGCTCGTCTGCCCGCGGCAACAAATCTCATCTGGGGATCTACTGCGCAGCGCCTGCTAGGACTGCCTCGGACCCGACGTGCTAGGCATGGCGCTCTAGGTCGTTGATGGCGGCCGGTCGGCTGGCTGTCGCACTCGGGGCGGGCCGCCTGGGCACCTTGCCTGCGGCCCGACTGTTGGGCCATTAGCTGCCAAGTGTCCTCCTGCACTCGGTGTTCGGAATGCTTCTGAGCCGCGCGCGTTGCTCGGCGGGCCGCGCGGGCGGCGGCCGCTGCGAAGGGCATCCAGGTATCCAGGGCTGGCCTCGCAGCGCCGCGCCGCCGTGGCATCCAGGCGTCCAGGCATCCAGGGCCGGCCTCGCAACGCAGCGCCCAGGCCTCTGTCCGATGAGCCCTGTCGCTCTGCTTTTCACGGCACTTCCCGCGCACCGCGCGGCCGAGGCCAGCCGCCAATCTGGCCGCGGGCAGCCCGGGGCGCCGCGCGCGCCGCCGCCGGCGCCCCGTCGCAGCTGTCCTTTGCGTGGTGCTCTCCGCCGCGGGTAGCATTGCAGCAGAGACTTCGCCCCCCCGCGCAGGGCGCGGAAGAAGCCGCCGCCGCGCGCGCATCGGCGCCAGATGAGCAATGCCCTGTGGCGGCTTGGGCCTGGCTGGATTTTCGCGAACGCATCGACGAGCGCGCCAGCTATAGCCGGTGCTTCGAAACACTTCCAGACCTGGTCACCCGCTGGGCCATGTAGGGCGGTCGACTCAATGCGCGCCTGAGGAGCGGCCCGGGGCGATGCTGGCTGCCAGTTCGGCGCCATCCATGGTGAGCGCGAGGTAATGCAACTGTGTATTTGGAGGGGTTCTGCTCCCGCCGCCGCCCCCGCGCGCGGCCAGGAAGGGCCGTCGCGCCGCTGTCGCGCGGTCCGAGGGCGGGGGGCGGCCCTGGTAGCCCAGTGGCTGCTTCGGCCGCTTCATGGCTCCAGCTGGGGTCAGGTGCTGCTGCGGCTGCGCCTCCCCGTGGGTCTGGTCGCTCATGACTCTGCCGTGTGCTGCGGGCGCTGACTGGCGTGGCGCAGGCGGAGTTGGGCGCCCGCTCCTACCTGGCACCGCGCTTGCCACCGCCTGGCTGCGGTGGGCGCCCCCGCTGGCGCCTCGCGCCCGGCTGCAGACTCTGCGCTGTAGGGGCCGCGCGCCCCGTCGTCCTTTGCTTCCTTTGCTGTAGCGCCCTCGCGCGGGCCGCCGCCCGCGGCCCCCCGCGGCGTCGGGGGCGCCCCTGTCGCGCGGAGGCGACGTGGCCCTGGCGGCCCCCCTTGCCATTGCTTGTTCGATGCGGTCTGGGGTTCTGGCACCTGTGGCGGCGCCTGTGTGCGGTGAAACGGCGGCGTGAGTGCCCGTCGCTGCCTCGGCCGCTCCTCGTCCTCCGCTGGGCGCGCTGGCTTCGGGGCCTCCGCCAGCAGCGCCGCTCGCGGCTCCGCGTGCGAAGGGCGCGGCATCACCTGATCCTTCTTAACATGGCGATACCTTCCAGTGGCCATGTGGGTCCTTATGGGGCCGGGGTATCAGGTATATCCATCTTGTTCTTCTGTCTACCCATATACCTTGGCCGCTGTTCAGTCAGCCCAGGCATCTTTGGACTCGCGCCACAGCAAGCATCGGTTTCTGGCGGAGAAAAGTAGGTTGTCGGGGGGCCCTCCGCCGAGCTGGCGTTCGCCTCGAGTGTTGGCGTGGCCTCTCGTTGGCCCTCACCTCCCATAGACATTGGGGGCCCATCCGCTGCCGCGTCGATCGCCGTTGCCGCGCTCTCTCGGCCACTGCCTGGGCCTCCTGTTGCGTTCTCCCGCCCCTGATCACCGCCCCCAACCGGCGCTGCGCAAGGAGCGCCCGGCGCCCGCGGTGCTGCTGAGTCTGCTCCTCCTGTTGCCGCCGCCAGCGGCCGCCTCCGCTGCGGCTGCGGACGGCCCTTGTCGTCGTGACGTCCGCGTCCTCAGTGGTGCGCTCATGGCGGGGCCCAAAGCGCGACCGCCTATAGCGTCGGCGGCGGCTCCGGGCATCCATGGTCTCATTCGACAATAAGTCCTTCACATCTCTTTGAAGCTCACGTAAGGGAGGTGCACGTTGAAGTAGACCTACCTTTGGGATGTACGTGGAGATAATACGGTCATCCCGTTGCGGGTCCTGGCTTGCGACTGCGCCGGAAGTCAGGAGTTTCGCGACCCTCCTCTTTACTGCCTTGCGCCGCGTGGTCCCGCCCCGACCTGGTTGAGCCAGGGCGTCCATGTGTTTCTGCTGGAGCACCAGCCCCGCGACGTCCACGCGGACCCCCCATCAACGCCAGGAGCCCGATCTGCGCTGGGGCTGGAGCTGCTATTTCCAGTGCCGCGCGTTACTGGGGCAGGGCAAAGGCGCAGGTCTACCCTGAGTGCAGTGGCACAGGACCTTCTAGCCAAACTCTACGGAGAGGCATCATATGGAACTTGTACCACGCGCCTACGGACACCCCGGAGGCCGTCAATGATGCACGGGTCAGGCGCCCCTGCTGGGATCACAGGGCGGGGCGGCGGAGTTCGGCTTCGGGTGCAGCGCCGCGAGCGCAGGGGTGCCACGTCGCTGGGTCCGTCAGGCGGCTATGGCCCTCTGTGGCTCCGAGCAGGCCTCCAGACGCATAGGGCACCGAGCGCATGTATAGAGCACCCCGCCTGTGCCTCGGCTCCCCGCTGCCCCCTCCGCCCGCCGCTGGTGCGGAACCCCAGCGCCAGTCCTCAACCCGTTGCCTCCGTCGTCCGCCGTCGGTAACCCTCCCCCCCTCGCTCCACCGTTGTCCGTGGAACCGCTCATTCTTGCACTCTGGGCTGGCTGGTGGATGACAGTTGGAGCCTTGAGCGCGCCGCTGTTGGCTGGACGTTCCCCTTCTCTTCCCCCCCGTCGTCTGGCGTCGTGGTTTCGCTTGCCACGGGAATCTGAGGTCTCAGGGTGGCTGCAAGAGTGCCCAAGATGGCTCCCGGCCCGGAAAGGCGCCAAGAGGGCTCCGAAGACACCTAAAAAAGCGCGCCAAGAGGAGGCCCGCGGCAGCTCAAGGAGGGCCTCGAGAGGGCCACTGGGCGGCCCAAGAGCGGGCATCCAGAGGTGGCATGGCAGGCCCCAAGACGGCCCCGAAACAGCCCCAAAACGCTCTCCTGACAGCCGCAAGAGTTCCCGAGACATTGCCCCGAGGCGGCCCGAGGCGGAGGCGGAGGCGGAGGAGGAGGAGGCGGCGGAGGAGGAGGGGGAGGAGGAGGCGACGGATGAGGAGGAGGAGGAGGAGGAGGAGGAGGAGGAGGAGGAGGAGGAGGAGGAGGAGGCAGAGGATGAGGAGGCGGAGGCGGAGGAGGAGGCGGAGGAGGAGGAGGAGGAGGAGGAGGAGGAGGAGGAGGAGGAGGAAGAGATGGTCCAAGACAGCCTCAAACACGCTTTCAGGAGGCCCAGACCTTTCAAACACCTGAGGTGTCTTTCAGTGGGTTTGCCTCCGTCGCTTCTTCGCTTCCAGTGGGCCCCTCAGGGCGCCTCCAGAGGGTCCCGAGGAGCTCTATGAGATGGCGCCATCGCCACCCAGCACCCTCTCGGCCATCAAGACCCTGCAAACCATTGCCAACTGTGATGCAATATGAGCCAGCGGGATGAGCGAAACGATTATATGACTGTCCTGCGCACGCGTGCGTACCAGACAAAATCCAAAAGACAGACGTTGTGAAACAATTGACGTCGGCAAGAAAAAGATGAGCTGGAGATAGATGATGTGCGAATTTCCAGGCCATGGGAAACACCGCTTTCATCGGGATAACCAATGAACTCCACGCACGCAGCCGAAGGTCCTCGATTGGTTACCGAATGCCATAACCTCCAAGCATCCCGCAAGCCATCAATCTTCGGCTTGAGCCGAATTTGCTTCCCTGGAGCTGTCGCGTCAGGTCCAGACGTTTCCATCTTGCCGGGGCCACTTCCGATGGTCCTGAGAACTGGGCTGACCTTGGACAGCAAGAGCTGCCCCCCCCCGCCCCCGCCCACACTCCAAATCGCCAGAGTCATTGTGCAAGCGTCCATGCGGGGACTCGCACGCGCGGCGTGCGGACCTCGTGCGAGCTCAGAGCGCCCTCCGGGCAGAAGGCGTCGAGCAACTGCTGGCACTGGGCACCCCCCTGCACCTGTGCGCCGTGGGGGCGACGCGGAAGCCAGGGCGGCGTCCAGTCAGCAGCGCGTGCATTAGAGGCAAAACGGCAACACGGGCGCCCACCAAGGGAACTCATCGCGCCGCGAGGCCCCCTTGTCCCCCTCTTTGTCTCTCCTTCTATTTGTTCTCTGCTTCCGCCCCTGCTCCTGCTACGACTCCGCTGGCGGACATGTGCACGCGCAAATGCCAGTGACAGTGACTACCGAAGCTCGACCAGAAAAACACACAACATTGCAGAAAAGCTGGCACGATGATGCGCCCTCCGTCAGAGTGTGTCGGCATCGGGCTGGCCGCCAAGGCCTGGCGACAAAGGTAATCGAGAAGATGGATGGAGGTGGGCGGGACGAAGAACTGCTAAGAACACATCAACTGCAAGGTGAGGCTACCGCCATGGTGCGCGTACCTTCCATGCGTTTTGCCTCGCAAGTGTTTGAACCTTACCAGGCACCAGCATGACAATTGCCGCGCCGAAGTGCCCACCACTGTAAATCCACCTCTTTCGCAACGACACTCCGCGCACATACATACTCTGATAATGCGGAGGTGTGCAAATCCCGCCAGCCCATTAGGGTGTAGGTGGTCTAGACCGATTCCTCTTCCCCTTCTTCCCCTTGGGGGAAAAGTTTCGCATTGCTTCT